GGCGATGCACAAAGGAAGGTCATGTGAAGACTCTCAACTGTGTACATTCACACTCTGGCACAGGCATCTAGTGCTGTCTAAGCAATATTTCCATCTTTCTAAGAGAGCTACGAAAAACGTCCTGGCCAAATTTACAATACTCGTCAAGCTTTCTTGAAACGCAAGCGACTTCACAACCAGTTTCTCTACCGGCGTTACCTCTAAGTTCCCCTTCCCACCTCCCCCAACTGGCTGAGTCCGCCTTTTTTAACATAGGTAATAAGTATATCAGCAGTGGGGAGGAGGTTATATAGCCAGTATTGTCGGATCCGTCTTATAAAATTACACATCAGAGAGTTGACTGTAAACGTTTCTCTTTCTTCTAATGCTCCGAACCGTTGAGATACGCTTCAAAGTTTTTAAAAATGTATTCGAACGTGTATAATTAATACCAGAGCAAGTCTCACGAACGTTTGCTGTAATATAAACGTTAAGAAAAACAGTTTTAACCTTTGAGCCTTTAAAGCAGTTTTAACCTTGAGTTATTAAATGTGGCTTTAACTAAGTCTGCTTGAAATGCCACTCCGTGTGATTTTTTAAATGAGAACTGCATAAAAGCAATTAAACTTTTAATCTCCACTATCAAAATACCCATTTTCTTTGTCGTACATTTCCCGTAAAGAGATAGAGGAAAAAGGGAAATGTGGAAGGGGAAGAGTTAACTGAATATCATGGAAACTCAGGTTAATCTTGTCGTCAATTCTCCTCACCTCTCTGGTGGACTAGACATTGATAGTGAGAGGAGAATTTTGTTGTTGATCTTGATGAGGCTTAAAGGGTTAATGAGCCATATTTGCATGCTATACTTTTGGTCTGTAAAATAAAAATTGGGATTTTACAAAGTTGATTTTTGGCAGCGGCTTTGAGTGCAGAAGAAGATGACGGTAACAGGGCCTTTACACTCAAAAACAATATTGATTTTGATCAAAACGCAGTACAAGTTTGACTGTCTGCTTGACAGAAACCTTGTGAAACGTCTAGACTACAGTTGTGATGGTAAACATTTACGCTTATGACGATACAAATATTTAATGAATCCTCTGCCTCAAGCCTCCATCGAAAAACTGTTGATCAAGTTGAGAGGTGGATGAAGGACCGCAAAAACAAACCAAATTCAGCGATCAGCTTCTGGTTTATTTTCCCACGGTATATTCGATACATATTGACATTGTTCAATACAGGAAAAATCCGACCTATTGCGTACAAATTGAGCCTAAGTGATTGATTACCTCAGTGTTGTGATCTGTTTGCTTCTGTTTTAGGCACGTTGTAAAGTATAAAAGGCAACAGATCAAACAAACAGCCTAATCTATTTCTAGACCCGCGAAATCTTCTTAAAGCTTAACAAAATCTATTATATTACACGACTAAGAAAGGAGACAAATAGCTGAAATAGAGCAATCAAGGCAGACCAAGTCAGGGGAGGGGAGCCCGGATGCGGACTCGCGTCTAAATTTTCCGAAGTAGCCTCCCATTTTCGCACTCCAAATATGTCAATATTTACCAAAAAGGTTGAGTAAAGCTGTTGTGCGTGTGGGAACTGTATAGCTTGATTTTCCCACGGTGGATGAAAAAGAAAATTGGCATATCAAGGGCCAGTTTTTCAAACTCTAGGGTTAACTACGCTTCCTGCCGATACGAAGCGTGTCCATCCTCTTATAGTACGGAAAGGTCAGTTTATTTTAAAGCCACAATCTGTATATACTAACTGTAGCATGCACTCGACTGTTTCCCACTTGGCTTTGCTACATAAGGAATGCTCTTTTGCAGTGAGGGATAATGCAAGCTTTGTTGGTGTACTTCATTAAAAGCTTCTTTAGATCATTTCGTGGTTTTCAAAGTGGGACGTGACCGTGGAAATGGGCCGAGAATTTTGTCGCGTTGGAGACCCAAATATTTGAAATTGCGATGTTTTTAAAAATGCTCGGATGCGTTCCAAGGGATGAAAATAAAAGCTACTTGTGCGATTTACTGATTTGATGTTTGATTTCTTGTCATTCAAATTGAAGGACTTTGGCCAACGTGATTTTGCCATGCAAATCAAGTGGAGAGTTCTCCTCTAGGCCAGAGAATATCGTGACTGAATGCAATAATCGCCTAGAATCAGGAAATTCGCCGAGGAGTATTGAGGCCTGTGCTGTTTTAATAATATAATATTGTCTAAAATGGTCGCCACTGCTTTCTACGAAATTGAAAATCTAATAATGCCATTTCAGTTTGATTGAAGTGTTTGAGAAGAAAGAGCTGTGCCGGGAATCTTCAGCTGTGGAGGTGTTTTATTACCTTTTACATTAGTTTGTTTTTGTTTTCTTCACACCTGTACCCGGCAAACCTTAGAAAAGCAAGTGCAGCTTCGCTCGCTTTATGAGATTAACTCTTACAGTGGCATTAATAGTCGCTTATTCTGTCGAATACCGGCTTGGCTTGTCCAGTGACTTTTTGCTTTTTCCCGGCTCACTAGAATCACCTATTTTTAGTCGAGGCAACATTCGAGACGGACAAAATTAACATTCAAAGAAGATTGAGGAGGCTGAGTGTTCAGTGACTGAGAAAGCTGGACGTTCACAGAGGAAGGATTACCGAACTGAGCTGTGTCTTCCTTAGACAGCTTTAATCGTGATCTCCTGGAATTCGCGACAGATTTTATTCGGTCCCGCATTCCTAGCGGTCACGGTTGTCTCAGTATTCTTCTCCGATTCATCGTCGCAGTTGAGTTATGTAGAGAGTCGTTGAGATAAGCTAAGCTCTCTCTTGGTTGTGTTTTTAATATTTTCTTAATCGAGAACTACTCGTTGTGTTGGTTTTCTTGAAGTGTAGTGTCTTAATCCAATTCTCAGTTGTAGCACTTGACGAGTTCTGCTACAGTCCTCTATAACACTGCTCAGAATCTACACCTCATTTTCGAACAACTCAGAAGTATCTTAACAATGCAGACAATCTTTAAAGATGGGGAGGCACAAGGATTTTTGAAACTAAATGAAGCTATTCGCGACAACTTATCTGTTTTTCAATGATAAAGCGTCGGCCAATTGCCAGACCGCTTTTATGCAAAGCGCGCCTTGGCTGTTCATCTCATTTCACCTGGTCCACTGTCAGCCAGGTGTTAAACGGAAAGACTCGATCATCGGAAGGAAACTTTTACTAATCCAAATAGTCAAAACAGGCCGTGCTCTCACCACCACGGCTCTTGACCCCGAGACCTCTCTTTGTCTTCTACTAACACTTTCGATAATTGCTATGCAAGTAGCGTTCCGTGCTCTGTCAAATGGCTCATTGTTGCGGCGTGATACCGATACTACTAATACCTCATTTGATGACATGCTAATCCAATCGTGAACTTGCGCAGTTACTGACGTAAAACCCTTGGCAACGTTTGAGGAAAATTGCGAAATGTGCTCGATTAACTTTTTTGCCAACATTCCTCCTCCGAAAAATATTTTTTCCCTCTCTAGCGCTGTTTCAAACAAAAGAAGGACCCCGTTTGCCTAATTAATGTCGATTCTGCCCATTTGGTATCGATCAGTCAGGGAATTAACGGTAAGGAGATGAAAGGATGCTATTTTCGGTTTTCCGCTTATTTTTAGCTTCCATCGAACAACCTTTGAGTGAGAGGACCTTTAAAAGTGCAAAGGCCTCTTCTTCTTCTTTTTTTTTTTTTAATTACACGCTGCTACCTGTTCAAAAGGAACATTGGGCTTTTCCTGTGCAAAACTCGTTTGCAAAATCAGAAAGCTTGGGTTTAAGTAACTTTCTTTTTTCTGGGTTTCAGGTAAATAACTTCTAAGGCAGTGATAAAAATCTGACAAGTCATTCATAAGTCAATCAGCAAACCGTGAGTGCTGACTGGGAGTTATGCTAATCTACTATTCATTATCGCGGCAGATAAGCCCTTGGACAGTCACGCCTTTTGACAGCTGTGTCAAAAAACCGCCGAATCATACCTCAAAGATCCTCAGCTTGCATTGTGTCCTGCATGCGTCAGATAGTCCCATAGCTCATGATTATTTTCAGCCCATATCAAAAGCCGATTTTGTGATGATTCTATTAATTCCCTGGTGCCCAATAATCTTCTGTCTGCCCGATACACGATTTTCTTACCCTAATAGTGTGTGTGGTGTGACACTTGTAAAACCTCGACTTTGTCACTTTTGTTTTCTTTCGCATCACACAACAATTATAGTCAAGTTCTTGTTTTTTCAGGGTTTTCCCTGCAAATTCATCCTTTTCGAGACATTTTCAAAGCCCCTAATCAATCAAACAAGGATCAGTTATGGACATTAAAGACCGACGTACTCCACATGTTGTGGGCATTCACTTGTTGCCTTGTCAGATTTCCATATGGTTCTCTATTGTCCACTTTTTGAGCCTACCTAACCAAACAAAAAGCCACAACGTCCTCAAAACCTGCCTTGTGGTGTGTACCCTTGTAAATCACAGTCTGGAATGAGTGCGCGAGCTTGGCAAATGCACGCATGGTTTTACGCTTTGAGAAGCTTCTCGGTTACAAGCAATTAGTACTTCCCTTGTGGCAAGTCGCCCCCGCGCGAATACTTCTCTGGCAGCAACACCTTTCATGAACTGAACAATTGCGTCTTGTTGAAATGGTGTTGACAGGGGAAATAATGCAATTGGTTGAAAAGATACGAACGTAATGAAATGGCCGCTCTGCCCGACTAATGGATCAGGCAGTAAATGACTGCGTGTGGCCCTCAGATAGGAATGCTTGCTGCGATTGGCCAGCGCGGTAAAATTGCATAACCGACAGATCTATAACTCGTGTAATTCGATCAAGGGGTGACAAACGAATTTACATCTTATTACAGTGCGTCTATCTACTGCGCGTGACTCGCGCAAAGAGCCAGATATCAATCAAAGTGCATGCAACGACGCTTTAATCAAATCATTTACGTCCAGGTTCAAAGCGGGCATCGTCGGAGTGATTTTCGAGAGCTGTGATGTCCATGTATCCTTACCCTGCCAACTCGGCTACCGCAAACAACAACATGATCGCGCCGATGTACGGAAATCAAGGCTATGATTTTTACAGAGCCGGTGCGTCTCCTTATTCTTCAGTTCATTTCCCTGTGTACCCTTCACACGGACAGTATCCATCAAGGCAAGATCGCCTTTATCCGCCTATTCCGCGGTCACAACATGTGCCTCATCAGAGACACGAGATGGTTAAGCCGCCGTACTCCTACATCGCGCTCATTGCCATGGCCATCCAGAGCGCGCCAGAGAAGAAAATAACATTGAGCGGAATATATCAATTCATCATGGACCGATTTCCGTACTACAGAGAGAATAAACAAGGCTGGCAGAACTCGATTCGTCATAATCTCTCCTTAAATGAGTGCTTCGTAAAAGTCCCAAGAGATGATAAGAAGCCTGGCAAAGGAAGTTTCTGGAGTTTGGATCCGGACAGTTTGAACATGTTTGAAAATGGAAGTTACCTGCGAAGGAGAAAGCGTTTCAGGAAGAAAGACAAGACGTTATCAGAGAGCAGCAACGGTTCCGAAAATCAGGACAAAAAAGAGCATGGCACTTCCGCCGACACAAAGACAACAAGCTCTGAAAAACCAGCAACAACTTCCGCTCCTCAAGAAAGCTCTAAAGAGCGTGAAACTTTGTCATCCAACACCCAAACAGCTCGCTCAGAATCACTAGATTCCTCTAAATCAGAGAGTAAAATTCCTTCATCAAAATCCAGTCCAACATCTTGCAAACGAGAGTGCATGGTTAGCGCCGAAGAATCTAGTAATTCGCCTGGTGAAATCAATGAGAATACAAGCGCCTCCACACCGCCATCCTTCCCCACTGTTCCTCCTTGCACCATCTACGAGAACGCATACACGATCAACTACCCTTCCTATCCACAAAATGGGCAGCAAGGCGGTGGCAACTACTCGGGCCCTCCATATGCAATTTGTCACTCTCCCTCCTACTCAAGCACCAACACACCCAACAGCAGAGCTTACCTCCATCGTTACGATCCTCAGATGGGCTCGGAGCACCCACCTATGACTCCCGGCCGATACTCACCTCATCTGAGCCACTACAATCAGCAAGCCACCCAGAGTCCGCACGTAGATGAAGTAGCCGTTCACCGCCAGCCTCACGCTCAGTACACTGCCGAGTACGAACCCACCGTAGCAAGACCCGGGCCTTGGTATTCTTCTCCCAGCTATTCTGGAGGTGAACCGCCTGTCACCAGTGCGCCACACGGCAACTGCTTCCCAAATGTGCGCGAAATGTTTGAGTCGCAGCGTCTGATCACTCCTGGTAGTAGCAGTGGCCAAGCTGTACCAGCCATGCAAGCCAATCAAGGTCAGTTTGGAAGTTCTAGTGCCTCTTATCACACTGCGCCAGTGCCTCAGTATACTCTATGATTTTTGAACGCGTCTTAGAGTAATCATGTTTATTCTGGACACTTTGAGGTTTAGCACTTCTCTCACGGACGGAAACATACAAAGCTACTTAACTTTTTTGTACATTTTACCCTTTTAGAACTGGGACAGATGTGTACAGAAAAAGCAATTATTTGTATCCGAGACGTTATTTAGAAAACTGATGGCCAAGGAAATACTTTCAAAAATTTATAGAACGATTATCAAGTATATACAGTTTAAGCTTTGGCCTTTTCGAACGGCAGTGTTTTCTGAGTTTTGTTTTTAGCGCCAAGTTAGTTTGACAGTTGATTTGCGAACCGGTGAAGTTTGTTTTTTGTTAGGCTTAGTAGCAACATTCATTGTTTTCTTTCAACTCGCCCTTCACAAGGTCTCTGTGATATGTCACCCGCCGGGCTCCCCGTACTGAGAGAATAACCATTGGTCCCAAGCAAATAGGTCGTCGTCAAACCCGATTGTACAAACCGCAGCCTATCAGGCAGACAGTCACGAAAAAGCAGCACGTAATTCTTGGTTTTCATTGATCCATGTTGAGAATTTTGGGCAGATTTGGTCCAAAACCAGTGGAAAGCAATCCGTCAAATCACTAGGGCGTGTTGACCAATCTTGTTCCAAAGAAAGCTTTGTTTTGTAATCAAACCTAACCAGCTAATAATGCTTTTTGATTAGGAGTGAAAACTAAACGTAGAAAAGGCCATGTAAATTATCGCATAGAAATATTTGTAGATACGATTCCAATTTTTATATTTAATAATATAGAACTGTATTTTTCAATCTGATTTATTCGTACTTTAAAATCCCTGCTATAAGCAGAAGCGATTAATTTTTAAAGGACAAAATAGACATTTGTGTACATGATTGTGCTTATGTTTTTATTCACACGTTTTTCAGTCCACTTAGCCTCCTAGTAGTGGCTAATTTGCATGCCATTTTACACAATAAAATTCGCAAAGAATTCATCTTATTCTTCGTGTGAAGTTTGTTAGGTTTTTGCCAAAGTGCGAGATCTTGTTGGATTATCTAATCAATCACGCACAATTTAGGTCAATTCCAGTATAGAATTTTCCCAATCTATTCTCCTGAAATGTAGCGTTGTCAGAGGGGCAAACTTTTTTATTTTGTAATTAGAAACTTCCCGTTAGATCAACCAAGAAAAAAGAAAGCGAGCTAAAGGGAAAAGCGTGAGGAATTTCACTAGTTCTTGGCCAACAGCGGAATTAGAGAGCTTAAAACCAGTTAGATCCCTTTATTGGTTTCACCTCAACTCTAATCTCACACATAGTGTGTCTCTCTCAAAACCTAAGCTATAGGAAAGGGCAGGTTTTTGACGCTATAGCCTTTAAACATTCACGAAAGGGAAGAAACCGTGCGCGTAGTTGTCTTGGTCGTGTATGCTCTCGGTGTGGTCGTAATAAGACGCGTGCCGATAACCGCTCTCTGAAGGTTTGATAAGGTGGCCAAACTTTTCATCAACAACAACTTGCGGCAAACCAAGTCGTTTAATTGCTTTCAGCTTGAAACACTTGAGCCAGCCCTTTTAGAGAGCTGCTATCCGGGCCATGAGGTTTTTCATTTTTTTTCATTTCCCGAAGTGATCGCTTTTTTATAGCGGGGCGGACGTGCATCAAAGACAGCTTGCACTTCAACTTTGGCGTCATCTTAAACTGACTGAAACCTACACTCAGTTCTGTGATCTTTAATTTCTCTGTGGCTAGTTCGGCAGTCCTAATGCTTTTCTATCTGTAAAAATTGAGAATAAAAGCATTAGAAAAATTAAGCCAATTCAACCTGAGCGGTTATTCGCTGTGGTGCGCAACTTCATATATCCGTTCTACAACGTATCATTGATATCAACCCCTTCATGTTTCATCCGTCAGTTCGGGACAGCTTATGTGTTTCACCTACTGTGAAGCGCAGGTACTTCTTGCTGGCTTTTTTATAACTTCAAAGGATATCAAGTCAGGGAAGGAAAACCGGTGGGGAAGTGGTCACACTGTGTACAGTTTTTGGCCACTGAACGGATATGCTCACTCCTATCCAGTCAGATTATACCGATTCATTTATCAGCTTTTTCAATGAACGTAGCAGCGGGGTTTTCTATGTTTTTTACCCGCGCATTTAATCTTTCAAAGAAAACGTTTTAGGACATAGTGAGTTAGCTACAAAGTTTTCTCACAAAACGGTGAAGAACAAGTTAGTCACTGCCAAGTCAGGTCATAGTTACGAGGTTTTAACTGAAATCCTATGGTCTAACCATTAATTGAAACCCATCAAGCAGTAGGCGGTTCACATGGGTCTTTTGATTTGTACAAAATGAGTTTTTCTTGAGTTTTGCTAATTCTGTTTGGATTGTCCTAGATAGTTTGTCGAGTCAAAGAAAGCCAAATGTATTATGAGAGCTACGAATCAGCGCGAAACAAATGAAACTAAATTAGCAGTTACTTATCATTAGTATCTCGAAGAAATATTGTAACTCTCTGCCGAGTGTGCTGGTTTCCCTTTTGTTTATTCTTTATATTAAGGCAGGGAGAAACAGATTGCTGCAGATCAAAGCGTCTATGATCTTTGTCTTAACATCATTAGCCCTGGCTTTCATTGGCACAGAGGGTCAAATACGGAGTAATAATTTGCCTCTAAACGTTTGTGGTTTAAATCCTATAATGTGAGCACCTGAATGAAAGCTACTGAACAGCCTTCTATAGCGGTGCTGTCGTTTATTGTGCAGTTTTCGTGAGATTTAATTGAGTTTTCGAACCAGACGTCTTGATATTAAGGAGCAGCTCAGCGGTGAAGTTCTTCGGCTGCCACTCCCTATCAGTCACATTCAAATCAATCTTGGTCGTCTGTAAGTTGCCGTAATCCTTCGTCGCGACCTGAAATCCTGCTTAACGGTTTTGCTTCATCTTAACTTGTTTGAAACAAGACCTGATACTTTCAGAAATTCAGACTATGATGGAAAATGCCACAACATTGTCCCTTCTGTATCACCAGAAACGAAGCATTTCCTCTACGCCAAAACGTTATTTTAAAGTTATAACATACAGGCCACACACTTAAGTCTATTAGTAACAAAATTAACTTAAGTTTAAACTGTTGTGCTTTACCATTTACTCTAATTCAATTTGCACCACAAGCCGTTTATAACAGGAGCTCAAACGACTCTAAGCATTCTATTTTCAGATTTCTTGGTTCAGAACCATGCATATTGGATTTCGACTAAGTGAATAGTCTATTTATAAATTCCAAGAAGAATCTCGGTAATGTTACCCCAAAAAATTTAAATCTCAAACTGTAATTGCTTTCATTTTCTGAAACTACACAGCTTTGGTAAACTGATTTAAGCATTTAGGACAACGTTTCTTACATCATAAATAAAGTTGTTCTTTCGAGTTAGTTCGAGTTTGAGCCATCTTCTTTCCCTCCAGGATTGGCAAAATATTTGTATTTGCTAAACAACTCGACAAGAGTTTAATGCCTTGATCAAACTTAATACGTTGCTTTCAAACAACCTTTAAAAGTATATTGGAACGCGGTTTGAATCTGTTTGTTGTTGATATGAAGTGATGCTCTTTGTTTTAATTCGCTATTATTTTAGCCTTTACTACCTATATAAGGCTAGAGAATTACTTTAATTTAAGCTTGTAGTAAAATGCGGCGAAGTTTGCATTACGTATTTGATCCCTCTCGTCTCCAGAAGTATTTAAAAAGAAAGGTCCCTAACTTCCTTTTGAATAGTATTAAAAACAATGAATACAACCTGGTCAGTTGCCAACTGAAGAGGTTTTACTGATTTCAATGATCAAATCGTAGGGTTTTGTGCTTTGAACTACACACTATATGACTAAAAAAGTGAAAGAGATAGGGTCCAAACCTTTTCGCCCAAAGAGCTTCCATGCTTAAAATAACCGTGAAATCAGTGTCAGGCTATCGAAGAATAGACAGGCCCACAAAAACGACTTGCTGACTAATTTTTTAATGCCTATGCGTGAGAACTCATTCGCTTCGAAAAGTGCCCCAGTTTTGCATCCAAAAAAATTTCCACATGTCATCTGGTCATTTTGTTATGTGAATATTAAAAAGTAAATGGTACCATGTGAAAGTACTTCTGAAGAAGTTTCGTTTGTATGCCACGTCGCACCAGATGCTTTACACTTCACAATTGTCACGTTGCTCCTATTACGCCTTGTTTACCCTTCAAAAGTTTGCAACGCCATTGTTCCCAATTTTTCCTGGGTATTACAGTCGTTTCAAGAAAAATTGAGGAGAATGCTTATTTAAAAAAATTGGGAGGTAAACAAGGTGTATTATGGGCACTGTGAAAATAGTGAATTTTCAACGTGTCCTGAAGCTGGGACCCCTATTCAAAGAGCGTCTATTTTTCAAAACAAATCATTGGGAAGAGTGGGAGCTGCTCGCCAAGCGATGGGTGATCCGCTGTTTTAAATGAAATCCACTCCTATACAGCGTGATGCATGCCAACCAGTACCACAGTCAGGAACAAAAAAGGAAATGCTTCTTCATGCATCGGTCACATTTAAAAAAACTCAAAGTTAAAACCACAATTCACGGCGTAAAAGAAGAACTACCAGACAACTGTTTCTGTTGCAGTGTGATTTTAATAAATACTCAGTTTAGAATTTCGTCTGGGGACTCCAGAGCGAGAACCAGATAAAATATACTAGGTAAGGCCAGACTTGCTCAGTAGCTCGATTCACTGTGAATCCAAAGACCTAAACAACCGAACTGGACCACTTTTCAGTGTAGGGTACTAACTATTACCATTACTATTTATCACCAGCAGACAGTTATCTTAATATTTCCACATTAAGTACAGTATTTGCCAGTAAATGTGTAGAGAGTGTTTGATTTAAAAATTCCTCTGGTGTAAAAGATTGACGCTGAAGAGTTACTGACTTCATTTCCTGTGTCGGGTTGAGTTTGGTCTTTGCTTCGTAAAGAATCATAGACAAGGTCTGTGAAGGTATCATTTCATTTCAGAACAACACTGAAGAGATTGAGGTGATGAAAATACAAACTTCATTCACTTAAAACGCATATCTCTCTGTTCAAATCTTTTTCAGAGTTACTGTCAGCGAAGTATTTCCCATCCGCTGTTTGAGTCTTGGGATAATAGCCATAAATTTCTTTCATGCAGAGATAGTATTCACGTTGCCCTTTCGTACGATGACGGTGAAATTGAGAAGCGCGGCCGGCAACAAATTTTCAGGTTGTTTTTTGAACGAAAAAATTTGAAACTATATACATATAAATGTATTTTAGCAAAAACCACAACTTATAAACTGGCCTTGATATTTCGCAATATAAAATGACCTCAAAATCAAGCTTCTCGATCTTCGTGACGCAGTTTTGGTAATCGCTATATTCGTAATCGTAAGCAACAGGCCCTTCTACGCAAC